AATGACTTGCCTTCAGTATTAACATACTCTCGAGTACTTATGTATGCGGATGATGTTAAACTCTGTGTCCAGTACAAGGACATTTCATTTCATTCTCGCTTGCAATCCGATCTCAATAGCTTTCAGTCATGGTGTTGTGCAAACTTGTTACACCTTAATGCCTCGAAATGCAAAGTTATGACATTTCATCGTTCTAGCCCTTTGTTGGCTCCCTACACCCTATTTGGTGGTTCTCTTGAGAGAATTACCCTGGTGGATGATCTGGGTGTTATGTTAGACCCCAAGTTAAAGTTTTCCGAACACATTTCTACCATGGTAAATAAGGCCATGGGCGTGCTTGGGTTTATAAAGAGGTGGTCAAAGGCATTTGACGACCCCTATATAACAAAGACTCTCTATACCTTGCTTGTTCGTCCGATCTTAGAATACGGCTCCTGTGTATGGTGCCCTCAGTACAAAGTACACCAGGACCGTATAGAATCAGTACAGAAAAACTTTTTACTCTTTGCTCTGCGGGGCCTTAACTGGGATGCGGGTGTAAGACTCCCATCTTACTCTAGTAGACTACTATTAGTAAACCTCTCATCCTTAGTTAACCGTAGAAATAAGCTTGGTGTGATATTTATGCACAACTTGATCAGGGGTGACATAGACAGCCTTGATCTGTTGAGCCGCATAAACTTCACGATTCCTATTAGACTGACTAGAAATTTTATACCGTTGTTCCTTCCACTTTGTAGATCAAATTATTCCTTGCATGAACCGTTTAGGGTCTTATGCTCGGATTATAATTCCCTCTACCATATTATATCCAACACTAATTCTCTTCCTCTTATTAAATTATTAATCCTTACACACCTTTCTATTAATTATAATCTGTAGTGGTATTTGTATTTTGATTGCATGCTTAGTTTCTTGGTAAGTTAGCGCTAATTTTCCTCGAAAGTTAGTCTAATATCTATCTTTCTTGCATGTTCGCGTTTGGTTCGGCTACGCACCGCGCGTCATGCGGCAGCGCCCCTCGGTCGGTTGGGCGGGAGGAGGGCTGCGTTTTGCCTGGGATCCGCGCGTGCAGTAACTGCATCGCCTCTTGAAAGATGCAGTCATTGCATGTCAACGTCCAAGAATTAATAAATAAATAAATAAAATGTAGGGCCATGGCGGTCTGGCAGACAGTTTCCTATCCTCGCCATTGTGGCAGCCTCTCTCGAGACTCTCCTATTCCGTGTACATCTGGCATATGTTCACTCTGGAAGTAAACAGCAGACTTCTACGGACCAATACATATTTTTATACCCGATACTCAAAATGAGTATTGGGGTATATTAGATTTGTGGTAAAAGTGGATGTGTGTAACGTCCAGAAGGAATCGTTTCCGACCCTATAAAGTATATATATTCTTGATCAGCATCAATAGCCGAGTCGATTGAGCCCTGTCTGTCTGTCCGTCCGTCCGTCTGTCCGTCCCCTTCAGCGCCTAATGCTCAAAGACTATAAGAGCTAGAGCAACGATGTTTTGGATCCAGACTTCTGTGATATGTCACTGCTACAAGAATATTTCAAAACTGTGCCCCGCCCACTTCCGCCCCCACAAAGGGCGAAATTCTGTGGCATCCACAATTTTAAAGATACGAGAAAACCAAAAACGCAGATTCGTAGAGAATGTCCATATCTTTTAGAATGCAGAATCTGAATTGGATCGTATTATTATTATAGCCAGCATCAAGAAAACAATTTCACTCTTTCTCGCTCTGTCTCACTCTAACACACAGGTTTCATGGTCGGTTTTGCCGATTGCAAAATATGAGTTCAAGGATCTCAGAACCTATAAGAGCCAGAGCAACCAAATTTGGTATCCACACTCCTGTGATATCGGACCTTGACCGTTTCGTGTCCAAATTTCGCCACACCCCCTTCCGCCCCCGCAAAGGAAGAAAATCTGGGGCAACCACAAATCTCAGAGACTATTAAGGCTAGAGTAACCAAATTTGGTATCCGCACTTCTGTTAGATCTCACTATAAAACGTATATCTCAGAATTTCGCCCCACCCCCTTCCGCCCCCACAAAGGACGATAATCTGTTTCATCCACAATACGGCATATTCGAGAAAACTAAAAACGCAGAATCATAGAGAATGACCATATCTATCAGATTGCTGAGTCTAGATCAGATCAGATAATTTTTATAGCCAACAGGAACAAATCAATTTGCAGTGGCTACGCAGCGCCCGACGTCACGCACAGACTGATTTTCTGTCTCTCTCGCACGCACTCTTTGTCGTGTCGTTTAATATTAGCGGCGCTGCCGGAGGAGAGCCATACTGACTTAGTATCGGGTATAACCGTAGAGTTGCGGTGTCCGCAGCAACTCACAACGGTCCCCTCGTTCGAACTACAACTTTGTAAGTGTTGTTTTGAATAGTTGATAGAAACTAGTGGATTATAACAAATGTATAATATTTTATGCTTTGCAGATGCTTAATTTCTGGTCTGTCATTGGGATCACTATTTGGATGTCGTATGTACTTTATGTTATCATTGAGGCTCCTTTTGGCGGACTAGAAAGTCTTCTACGAACCCAGCAGCCACGAGCTCCAAGCGAACAAAAGCAGTCGTCAGTAGATGTCCAGCAGGATCAGTTGAATGACGGAAGGAATCTGGATGAACCTGAAGAGCCTAAGGAAGAAGCCACAACGACTGTTTCAGAATAGTTAAATGTAAGATGCTAATAGTCGTGTTTTGTCTTTCCCATATTTAGATCCAGTATGGTTTTCTTGTATTCAACGACTTTTCGCCGACCAGACATGTTTAAGTTTGCTATTAAGTTAAGACTTTGAAGCCACTTGAGATATTAGCTCTTACAAATAACTATTTGACAAGCGCTTTACTCACAAAATCAACTAATAAACGAGGGGGAACGCTGTGAGTTGCTGCGGACACCGCAACTCTACAGTTATACCCGATACTTAGTCAGTATGGCTCTCCTCCGGCAGACGCCGCTAATATTAAACGACACGACAAAGAGTGCGTGCGAGAGAGACAGAAAATCAGTCTGAGCGTGACGTCGGGCGCTGCGTAGGCACTGAAAATTGATTTGTTCCTTTTGGCTATAAAAATGATCTGATCTGATCTGATCCAGATTCAGCAATCTCATAGATATGGTCGTTATCTATGATTCTGCGTTTTTAGTTTTCTCGAATATGCAGTATTGTGGATGAAACAGATTATCGTCCTTTGTGGGGGCGGAAGGGGGTGGGGCGAAATTCTGAGATATACGTTTTATAGTGAGATCTAACAGAAGTGCGGATACCAAATTTTGTTACTCTAGCCTTAATAGTCTCTGAGATTTGTGGTTGCCCCAGATTTTCGTCCTTTGCGGGGGCGGAAGGGGCTGTGGCGAAATTTTGACACGAAACGGTCAAGGTCCGATATCACAGGAGTGTAGATACCAAATTTGGTTTCTCTAGCTCTTATGGGTTCTGAGATCCTTGAACTCATATTTTGCAATTGGCAAAACCGACTATGAAACCTGTGTGTTAGAGTGAGACAGAGCGAGAAAGAGTGAAATTGTTTTCGTGATTCTGGCTGTAATAATTATACGATCTGGTTCAGATTTTGCACTCTAAAAGATATAGTCATCTTCTACGATTCTGCGTTTTTAGTTTTCTCGTATCTTTAAAATTGTGGATGCCACAGATTTTCGCCCTTTGTGGGGGCGGAAGTGGGCGGGGCAAAGCCTTGAAATATTTTTGGAGCAGTGACATATCACAGAAGTCTGGATCCAAAACATCGTTGCTCTAGCTCTTATAGTCTTTGAGCATTAGGCGCTGAAGGGGACGTGTCGTTAAATATTAGCGGCGTCTGCCGGAGGAGAGCCATACTGACTTAGTATCGGGTATAACCGTAGAGTTGCGGTGTCCGCAGCAACTCACAACGTTCCCCCTCGTTTTTTTTTGCATCTCTGTTTGCAATTTTTATACCCGATACTCATAATGAGTATTGGGGTATATTAGATTTGTGGTAAAAGTGGATGTGTGTAACTTCCAGAAGGAATCGTTTCCGACGCCATAATGTATATATATTCTTGATCAGCATCAATAGCCGAGTCGATTGAGCCCTGTCTGTCTGTCCGTCTGTCCGTCCGTAGCCATAGCCGGTCGAAAGGGCTGCACACGAGTATGTCCACTTCCGGGCCGAGTCTTATGCAATCGGTTCGGTAATCGGATCCCAAGAGCCGGCGCCTCCCCTGGCCACCTTCGCACAGGAAGTCTTGACCCTGTTTACATATCGGGGCTTGCTCGGGTTGCCCGTGTGGCAAGGGCTTGAAATCGGAGGCGTACCCCAACCAGCGCCCAAGAGAGCCCAGAAAATGGATGCTTCTACGGATTCTGGATCAGGATGATGACGCTTTTGTTATGTTGTTTTGATCACTGATCACTGAATCAACACGAGTACAGTGAAAATTTAATGACTCATTTGATGCCGCTTCTGGTGGATTCCGTGCCTCCGAAGTGCGTATGCGGGGGCCTGCAATTGCGGGCAACAAAGGCCCCACGGCTGCCACAATCGCTGCAGCAGCGGAAATGTTTTGCTGCTGCTACATGCTCTCCTCCTCCGTTTATCATTGAATAAATTGCAGAACAAATATGCAGCGAAATAAAAATAATAATAATAAATGCAATCACGGGGATGAGGGATGAGCAAGTGGCCTCCCGTCCAAACGGAACGGATTGTAATATGCATAAACTATATATCTGATCGACTGGAAACTCTTGTGCTTGAATTTGACTTTGAATTTCGAATATTTCGGCATATATTTTCATTGCGGCCAAAAACGGAGAGACGATTCCGTGCATTGCGATTCTGGCATCAACGAAAATATATGCCCAAATGGAAGTGCAAACATCTCTGAGGGGAGGGGTGGAGTGTCGGGCGTGTGGACGTCTTCTGTCAGTGTGTGATTGAATACTGCTTGCTGCTTTCTGCTCGATGGCTGCCCCCTAGAGCACGAGGTGCAGACGTATCTGGAACACCAGCTCCTTGACGGTCTTCTTCAGGAGCGCCGCCAGGGACAGGATGAATCCCAGGAGGTTGATGAAGAACAGCCAGGGCGTGGTCATGAGCACGCCCCGGGCATTAGCCATGCGCCACAGCAACTGGCGCTGGATGGTGCGCAGCTTGAACTTGCTGTTCCACAATCGGAGGCCCGTCGAGCCGACGGTTTCGTTGATGCCCACGGTCTTCTCGACCAGCCAGAACACCGCGCAGCACAGCATCTGTAGCACCAGCAGCACGACCTTGACCACAGCGGACTCCAAGACGAGGTGGTACAAGGCCACCATGCGCTGACGGTGCTCCGGCTGCATTGTGGAGAGCGCGACTGCGCCGAGGGACTCCAGCGGGGAGACCCTGTGGGAAGGGCCGTCGGAGAGCTCCTCCCACTCCTGAACTCGCTCTGGCTCTGACAGGTCTGGCTCTGACAGGAGCACGACACCTCCTCTTGATCCTCCTCGGTAGGCATCGAGTAATCGCCCTCGTAGTCGCCATCGTAGCGGCCGTCGGAGTACTCTTCGTGCGGGCCGTCGTAGTAGTCTCCGCGGCTGTCCGGAGAAGCGCCGCCTGTCCAGAGGGAGCTCAACACGGGCGGTGGTCCCATCGATGCCATCTGTGGCACAGCATTGAATCTGCAGGGGAGCCGGGGGTAAGTTATGTCCTGGGGCGAAGGGGAGTCTGGGCTGCTGCCGCTCACCCATCTGAATCCCCTATCGGAGGGATGGTGGGGGGGTGTGAGCGAACTATTGGACCCATTGGGCGGGACAGCAGAGGACTGGTGTGGATTTGGCCTAGGAAGGGCATCGCATTGAGTCCATTCTTGTCGCCGGAACCTTCGGGGGGGACCTGCAGCTCCGGCTGCTGCTGCTGCTGCTCGGTAAAGTCGAAGGATCCCATGGATCCGAAAATACCCCGCGAACGGGTGAATGGGGAACGTGGATTGTTAATAGTTGGATTCATCTTATTTCAGCACCTGTGAGGACATATTCGTTCATGGGCTTTGTTTTGAATTTGTATTTTTATTTACTTTATGTTCCCTGTACTTTCGATATTTGTACTGAATGATTCCCAGAGCCAGTTCTGAACGTCTCCAAGTGATAGTTCAGGGCCCACTTCGATGTTGTGTTCCAAACAGATTCTCCCTTCTTTTCAGGTCTCAGCACACCACCCCACAACGCCACAGAAATATTTTAAAACTTCGCACCGCCCACTTCCGCCCCACAAAGAACGAAAATCTGGGGCATCCACATTTTTAAAGATACGATAAAACCAAAAACGCAGAATCGTAGAGGATGTTTATAAGTATGTTCTAGAATGTAAGATCTTAACCAGATCGTATAATTATTATAGCCAGAACCAATAAAACAATTTCATTCTTTCTCGCTCTGTCTCTCTCTAACACACAGGTTTCATGGTCGGTTTTGCCAATTGCAAAATTTGAGTTGAAGATATGAGTATCCACACTCCTGTGATATCGGACCTTGACGGTTTCGTGTCCAAATTTCGGCACACCCCCTTCCGCAAATCCACAAATCTCAGAGACTATTATCGCTAGAGTAACTAAATTTGGTATCCGCACTTCGTTAGATCTCACTATAAAGCGTATATCTCAGAATTTCGCCCCACCCCCTTCCGCCCCCACAAAGGACGAAAATCTGTTGCATTCACAATATTGCACATTCGAGAAAACTAAAAACGCAGAATCATAGATAACGACTATATCTATCAGATTGCTGAATCTGGATCAGATCGGATCATTTTTGTAGCCAGAAGCAAGAAATCAATTTGCGGTGGCTACGCAGCGCCCGACGTCACGCTCAGACTGATTTTCTGTCTCTCTCGCACGCACTCTTTGTCGTGTCGTTTAATATTAGCGGCCTCTGCCGGAGAAGAGCCATACTGACTAAGTATCGGGTATAAATGTAGAATTGCGGTGTCCGCAGCAACTCACAGCGTTCCCCCTCGTTTTAAATTTGGTTGTTGCGAGGAGGCGGAATCTCTTCACGAACTCTCGCCATTTTGCTGCTACTTGTCATGAGAATTGGAAAAAACATTGAAACAAAGAAAGGGTCTGCCACCACTAATGGTTATAATTGCACCCCGGCTATCATCTTTTCACGCAATGATCAGAATTATAGAACAAATTGTCTACATCCATGTTTAGCTAAACTTTAGTTTTCTCCGTTTTTTTCTTACTCACTCATATTAAAACCAAATTGAATCCATCAAAAGTCAATAAGTAAAACGATTACCTGGGAAAAGATTATAAATAAATGAGCTTGTGCTCCTTATCGGTGATGTTCGACTGAATTAAGCATTTTGGCTGATATACTTGACTCGAGAGCTGACACACTGATAATGTTATCGCCAGATTTCCCTCAAAACATTCCTTTAAAATCACAGTCACATTCCTATAAAATCACAGTCAAAAGGTGCAATGCCTTCAATCGAAAAAGTATTAGCATGGTGAACGTTTTAAGCAGTCTACTTGTCTGCGGACTGGTACTTGTCAGAGCCGCACAACTGAAAGACGGAGATGTCATGCAAGATTACCAGCGTTTAAAAAGGCTCTGCCCGCTGGGAGTCGAGTTTGCCGAACACTTCTGTAATGCATCGCTCCCGGACTTAGATCTATTCCACACCCGAATACCCAGTCAGGAGGATCTGTTGTGTTTCGCGGACATGGCGCAGTTCATGCAGGCGCTCACTGCTGGAAAATTATGGGCCCTTAAGAGTAAGTAAATAATGAAAATTATATTCAAGTGAATGAGAACTGAAGTTGACGAATTTTGTGAGCAGTGATCGATGCTTGGGGCTCCATACCCTCAGGAGTGCTGTCCGGCAATGCCTACCATCTGGGTAACTTTGATGAGTGTGTCAAGATCAGCGAGGAGATCACCAGTAGTGACAGCATACATGGAAAGTACTGTTTTCTAAATGTACCCGCCGTATCCATTTCGATCAAGATCGCATCTTGCTTTCCGGCTTCCTGCTCTGCGGCACATATGGATACGTTTCTGGAGCAGTTAATGCAGAATTTGTTGAACTCAAGCAGCACAAATATAAAATTCAGCGAGGCCAGCTGTCAGACAAGTGAATCGAAACCTTGGGATGGAATGACCATTTTCACAGTGTAAGTTAAGACCGTATCATAATCAAATTCTGTCACACATACTATGGATTGCAATGTACTTCTTGGCTTGATGGGTACTATCGTGGGTCTATGCACGCTCAACGACTACTTTCTGTGCCAGGATCAGAGTGAGTAACGGAGAGAACGGATTGATTTACAAAATGATTTAACTCGAATTTGCCTACCAGGTAGTATCGCTGCGACTGTGAAGATTTGCTCGGCACGGTTGTAGCGCCATTTGGCTAATAATAATTGTTATTAGGATCGTATTTTATGAAGTCTAGTGTAAGTTAGGCTAGGGCAAAGCGGGAGCGCAATAAAAGCTCGCTCTCTCGCTCTTGGCGAATTCGCCCCGCTTCGCCACCGTAGGTAAGATAGGCGCAGAAGAAATTGTTTGAATATAGGAAGAAAAGAAAAATACAAATTTGCAGTCACCCAAGTTTTTCGGTATCTTTTATTTAGAAAAACTATTCTAAAATTTCATGGCGCCCCCGGGTGGACTTGCAATTTAAACGTACTAATTCAAGTGGAGTGCAAAAGTGACAGTGAAACAGTGGAGAATAGATCAATAGCCAAAATCTATTATACCTACATGTACATGCATATGTGCTGCAGCTAAATTGCCAAATTGACCGCGACGTGTGTGCAAAGAATTCAACAAACAAAACTAAAAATCACCGCGTCGGTCGTGCAATACCCTGTCTGCAGCTATATACCAAAGGAGATATATACATATACCATCTACCAAAGGAGATCCAAGTGGAGCATCCAGCATAAGAAGAGGAGAGTACAGCACCTGGAATTTCCAATCTTATCAAGAGGTGTTTGTGCAAAAAATTGAAAGCTCGAGTGAAGACGAAAAGATAAAAAAAAAAAACTCGCAATTATTGTCTTGTGCTGAAACAATTGCACCTCGCTTTCAATTCTTGGCACATACGTATGACATAGTAGAGCTCGATTGCATGCTGTAGTTAGAGTTGAGCATATATATTAATACATATATACATATGTACATCTAACCCTCTTGGGCGCAATAACTACACATATAACTCATTTTAACTGCAATCGCTGTCACCCCTTTCCCCTTTCTCGTTTTCGTAGTGTCAAATATATGTATAGTTGGGTCGTTGGCCAAGCACGCATACCAATACGCAGCTGCAGCGGTGAATTTTTTCGTCTTGCTTTCGCTCTTCACCGTTGCTTATCGTTGTTCTTTTGTTTGGCGCGCTTGATCCAAACCAAACACCAAGTGACGCGCTACCCTGTTTTCGTCGGGTATATTCGTTTGGTGTCAGTAGGATCCAACTATCAATTAAGACAAAGTCGTGCCTCGCAAATCAATTTAGCGTCGATCGTTGTCGGTGCATACGTATACACAACATCCATTCTTCAGAACTACAGCGGTGACATTTTTCGTTTTCGCTTGTCACCATTGCTGTTCGTTGCTATTCTTGTGTGGTTTTCGTGTACGCGCCAGCCAAGCGACACTCTACCCTAAATTTTTCGGGTATATTGGTTTTTCACCTAGTTTGGGTACAATTACCCATTATTTCATTGAGTGCCTCGGCATTAAATACGATTATTAAAAACGATCTTTCGCCTTCAGTTGCTTGTATTGAGAATCAATATGACCTCAAAAGCCAACAATATCGCCCTTGAAGAGCAGAAGAAAAAGCGCAGTTGCCGTGTCAAAGGCATTCGTTTATTAACGGACCGTTTAGAAGCGGTGGATATTCCGCTGGTATTGACGGTGCTCGACTGCACTCGAGCACTCGAAACGCTGATGCGTAACATTGACACGGCACGCGAACTTCAAGAGAAGATTGAAGATATAGACATTGACGATGAATTTGGAGTCGAGTTGGAAGAACTCTCAATTGTCACAAAGGCAAAATTAATGTCTCTCATTTGCGCATTAAAGACAGCTGATGAGACAATACCGGCAGTACCAGCTTATGGTGGCCCAACTCGTGCTCGCCTTCCGAAGTTAGCTCTGCCGCAGTTCAGCTGCAACTTTTCGGACTTTAAAGACTTCATAGGTTTATTTGAGACTCTAGTTCACAATGACCAAAGCATTCCAATTATCGAAAAGTTCAACCATTTGCTTTCGTGTCTCTCCGGTGAAGCGTTGGGAACAGTTAGGGCATTCCAAGTAACCGAGACAAACTACGAGAAAGCAATGGCTAGCTTAAAACGGGTCTACGATAATTATTGTCCCTATTTAGTCTTCCCAAAATGACCCAGCAATCAGCATCGTCCTTAAGGAACCTTATCGATACTGCCTCATCCATATATGGTTCGTTGTTGTCGATGATAAAAAGATCTCGAATGCGATGATTATTCATCTCGTCTTGAGCAGAGTCGATCCGGTGACCAAAGAGAAATGGGAAGAACAGCTCGATTATGACAAACTTCCACTTTGGACGGACTGTGAAAAGTTGCTTAATCGCAGACATCAGCATCTTTCGGCCGAAAATTCGGACAAACCAAAGCAGGAGCAGAAAGCTGTGCCAAGCAAGCCGCATAATCGGAGCTCATTCGCGTGTTCCACCGCGAATACCAAAAACCAACAATGCAGCTACTGCAATGCGAAAGGCCATTTGTTGACAGATTGCAGTCCATTTGGTCGGCTGGCAGTAATGCAAAGGTTCGAATTCGCAAAAACTGCATCCTTGTGCATCAATTGTCTGCAGCCAGGCCACTCTGTAGTACGATGCAAAGCTAAGAAGGGTCGAGTGTGTGGCTGCTCACACCATACCTTATTGCATAGGTACACAGTGGCGAATAAAAGTCTAGCGTTATCATCACCCCCAGAGAATTCTTCTCC